CCCCCCCCCCCCCCCCCCCCCCCGGATTTTATTAAGGAAATTTTAGTTTGGCAGTAACTTATGGGTAAGGGAAAGGGAAGTGTGTGGGAGAAAAAGGAGCATTACAGTGCCAGGGGCTTGTGCATTCCTGGAATGAAAATTCATAAATAATGCAGGTCCTGGATAACAAAAAGAACTCCCCCGCTGACTCGCACAGCACTGTGCTAACCAAAGGCCACGCAATATCACTCAAATCTCAGAGAGAAAAAAACATATAAAAAAATTATTAGAATCAAGTGAAGATTGTAAGTGTGTGTGTGTGTTAGTGGTTTCTTGACTCAGGACAATGGGGATCTGCGGCCAGCAAAACAACAGTCCTCCGGGCCTGAATTGTCAGGAAGTTGCACTTGAATTATAACGGGGCTCCAAGCACGAGGAGCTTAACGCACCACCAACAAGTCTGCAAATTAGAAAGTGAGCGTGCAACAGCTGAGAGAGATAATGACGACGGTAGCGACCGCCGACCGCAAACTAGTGCCAAGGAAGGGGGGCAAACCAGAGCGCATTGGCACTTGGCTAGAGTGGAAAACCCTGAATATCTATATTATTCTTTGTTATGCAATATTGATTAGCCATGTGGCTAGCTGCTTGACTGACTGACAGAAATGCCAACGTCTAATTGGCGGAGTGACATTTCAATTCAAAGGCCTGTCCTCTTGATTGTGAAAGGCGTCGCCGTAATGGGCGTGCCATTTCAAATGTGCTCTTAATCACCCGTTCACCACCATCACCACCTCCAGTGCAGAAGACCCGTAAAAAAACACACACGGCCCATCAACACATACAGTAGAGCAGCACGGTGGGAGAAATGGATGTAGAATTACAATCAAAGTGTGCGTGATGTGTGGGTGACAAAGGCACAGAGTGTGTGTGTGTGTGTGTGTGTGTGTGGGTGTCTAACCTCCATGCACAGATGCTCTCTATGAATCACAGGGAGCGAAAACAGACCGCCTCGGTTTCTTATCATCACGGCTTGAGGAGGGAGGCCTGAAGCGGCGCTGTGAGCGGCGTCAGGTATGAGGGGCCAATGCAACACCCTGCATCCACTCGACTACAGGTCTTGTAAATATAAAGCCCTTTCTTTAGGGGAGGGGGGGCAGTAATGCATCATGGGTGTGGAACAGGCCAAGCATCAATACTGAAAGATATGCACCGTGGCTGGAGGAGCAGTGCATTAGATCCATGCATTACACATATTGACAAATTGCAGTTTCTGATTTCAATGTATTTGCATTTTCAAATTGCAGGATACGCAGCTCCTCTCCCCTCCTCGAGCAGAGCGAGATTTAACAAACCGTGCCGGAAAAGTACTGGGAACGCTCTCCGAGAGTCCCTCCCTAATGGGAGAATATATATTTAGACAATTACTCAGAAATATTTGTTATTTATTTATTTGTTCTGCTTATACGCCATTATTTATTTATTGGGAATATGCCTTGAGCGGTTTACTCCGAGCAATTTTTCATAATCCAGTGTGAAGGAGAGGAGTGAGGAGGTCTAATTCAAATCTATCGGTGCATATCCATCTCGGTGCAATTTTCCCCTGCCTTCACAATAATTATGATTTATCAAAATGCATTGGCTGCCCGTTGATTATTTCGTCCTCACACAGTTCCAAACACCAGCGTGAGGGGGGGATATATATAATGTAAAGGGACGGCTTTCACCAGTCCACCAGCACGATCCGGAGAGGTGAAAGTTCACGCGCGTGGACGGACGGACGTTCTTGTGCAGAGCGAAAAGCGGGTGTCAACGGTGTTGGAACGTGTCCCGACGTGCCTGTTGGACCTCTCTGTGTACAGTGCTGGTTATGTATACAGGGGGGGGGGCATGCGTGCATGTTGGGAGGCAGAGGGATCTATAGCCCCCCCCCCTCTCACTGGATCTCCGGTGGCCCTGCTGGCATCATTAGGCTGTACCTCCGTGCTGACGGAGATGGAGTGGACGAGCCACAGCTGAGAGCAAAACAACTCAAGGCTGCAAAACGATGCTCGCACACATGAAGCGGAGCGCGGCAGCCCCGCTGTTCCGCACCTGAACTGTCATTATTCAGACCGCTTGTCAAACAGACAGCGCAAAGTCAGCATCCCTACACTTCAGAAAGGAGGCGCACTGATTTTCATAAAATAAAAAACCCGCACCACACTGTACCTCTCCGTCTGCTTCTCTTATTTCACACACGCACACACACACACACACACGGACCGTTGCACCGAACCCATCTGAACAGCTGGTAATAACCATTTCCTGTGAACTCACGTTGTCTCAGCACCCGAGCCTCGTTTAACCGAAGCAACATTGTAGCCCGATACCGAGCCCAGCTCAAGAGAGGCCAGAATGTGAACGTGGCGCTTACCTTTCCGACGTAATGCCATTCCTCTTCTTCTTCTTCTTCTTATTTTTTTTAGCCTGACTCCGCGCTATAAGAGCCCGAAAATGCTGAAGACTGCGCAATCTCCCTCCCTTCGGTAGAGCTTGGACCTGAGACGCGGTGCTCCTGTTATAAAACAAAAAACAAAAAAAATGTGTCTGAAACACCTCTCTCTCTTCCTCTCTTTCTGGTCTGGTTTCGAGGCGGCGGTGCTGATGCTGATGCTGCTCGCTCTCGAATGCCGATGGAGGACGAGGAAAAACGATGTCGCGCGGAAGGGGTGAAAGGGATCTCCTCGCAGAAGGGGGATGCGCGCGCGAGCCAGCTCCGCCGTGCCGTGCCGTGCCGTGCCGTGCAACGGTGACAAGGAGGAGGGGAGCCCGGCGCGGTGCGTTTAGCCGCAGTTGAACCCGACGAAAAGCTGACGGGTTGATGCTGTTGCTGGCGAGGCTGCTCGTGCTGCCGCTATAACAACGCTCCCTGGATCATACCACCGCAGCCGAGGAGAAGGGGGTGTGGCAGCACAGACCGGTGCACAGACACAAAAACACGCGCAGGCTCCCGTCGCGTCGGGAGGTCGTCTGGTTAGACTCCTTCAGGTGATGCCGTATGGCCGCACTGTTGTCCTGTGCCGGAATGCTGACTCATGAATAGAGCCACACTGGTGGAAGTTTGGCGGTTGTCTTTCTGCTTTGCTGCAAATATCCAAACCTAAAAAAAGAATAATTCATTCCCATGAGCAACAGGCCTGAGAGCAAACAAAATGACAACCATATATATATATATATAGATAGATAGATAGATAGATAGATAGATAGATAGATAGATAGATAGATAGATAGATAGATAGACAGACAGATAAAGATATCTATCTGCGTATCTATCTATAGATAGATACGCAGATAGATATCTTTATTTTCGTGTCATGCACATGACATGCCCAACCCTCACTGGTTTCTAAGACCCCAAAAATACAGCTTGAGTGGACACACATTTCATTAAGTTCCAATCAGTTACAAAATGAACAAAAACAAAACATTCATGCCTTTCTCTCCCAGGCCTGGCAAATAAAATCTGCTACAAAAACAAAGTTGCTTTCCTGAAGCACAGCTCAAGCTTTTCATAGTCATCCGGCTGACAGAAAATCAACATAAATGGAAGTCATTTTTTTACTGAAGAGTACATCCCTTATGTCCTCGCAGATAGGACATTACAGAGGCTATTGGGAGTAAACTAATATAGAGGCCCGCATGGCAAAAAAAAAAGCAGATGAAAAAAATGGTATTTATTAGTAGGCCTAATGGTAATTTACTGCTGCAGTGGGCCTGGTTTGCGCCAACACCTGCAGATAAGCTCATAATGTCTGCATTGCTAAGTGATCCACCTAATGACTGTGACCCCGTGTGCTCTGTATGTGCGATGCATTGGCGCTGGGGGGGGGGGGGGGGTACTCACATCCAGCAGCTGATGGTACAAACAACTTGTGAATGACAGGGGTTCTAATGATTGCAGTTTATTATTTCCCCAAAGCGCAGTACGCGCGGGGCTACAAACAACCATTTTGACAGCTGCTTCAGTCTATCTGCCTCTCTGCCTGTCTCGCTCTATCCCCCACACAGCACGGCGGTATGTGTGTGCATCTTTTATCAACAATAGGTTTTGGCACTTTCCGTCAGTTTCATCACTGGTTCCCTCTAAATGGAGGCTGCAAGTCCAGCAGTCGCGGGGCAGAGGGTGAAACGATCCAAAGAGGGGGGGGTTGGGGGGGGGGGAGGTGGCTCCAGGTTCCAAGTCTGTTTGATAAAAAACTGTGTTCCTCTGACGTGGAGATTACCGGTGTGTTTGTCATCTGGACGTGGGTTGTCAATATGTGGCTGCCAGGCCGCAGCAAGAGGCTGTTTCTTGGAACAATGGCTGCGGAAGATTGTATTGGATTTTTATCAGGGGGACCTCCAGAGTTTCTGAGAGTGCGGCCTCGCTTTGGAGAGCTGTGTGTGTGTGTGTGTGTGTGTGTGTGTGTGTGTGTGTGTGTGTGTGTGTGTGTGTGTGTCTGCGCGCGCGTGTGCGTGTCTGAGACTCCATGTTTGCCCACAGAGTCCTAATGGCAGTCACATTACACCTCCAGCCGCTGGGTAAGCGCTCTTTTAAAAGATGCTCGACACAACTCGCTGAGACATCTCCTTGACAACCAGCTCAATGCGGAGATTTGAAATGTCACAGTTTCTTTTTTTTTTACTGCGATTCTTTTATTATTATTATGGTCTATTAGAGGAGAGATAATAGCCGTGGAGAGGGGAGGAGGACCGACCTTGCTGTAAAGGAAGACGCGGCCCTCGCTTATTATTCCAGAAAACGTGGGGAAATAGAAAGTAAAATTTTGTATCATGAGAGTGCGGTTTGGAGGAGATTATAAACAACGCGGAGCTTTTCATGGCAAAACGGAAGTTTGCACCCGGTCGGCATTTCATTGGGTAATAAGCATCATTAGAGCCACAGACGCTCTGGCGAGAGTGCGCGCCAGACATAATGCAGGCGGCATTATCTCTGATGTCATCAGATTATAATGCAAATTGCATTAAAAAATGACATAACCTAATTAAATAGTATCTCAAACTGGCTACAAAAGACAAATGTCAGTGGAAACAAATAGGGGAGCCCCATCTCCACGAGACCATGTTTGCTGATCCAATTATCCCTGCCCTATTTGGACGACATGGAAGCACAGCTGAGCGTACGGGGAGGGACGGGAAGCACAGAGGTGGATTTAGAGAGCTGGAGCTCCATGAAAGCGGTGCGAGAGTGGAGAAAAAAAGGGGAAAAGAAAGCCCGAGCCCGTTGCTGTTGTGAATGCTAAAATGGAGCCCTGGTGAGAATAACGGGGATGGGAAAGCTAGCCCGTATAGCCCCTGACTTTTTTCATCTAAAACCCTGAACGGCCGGAATAGACACCGTGCAGCACTCTACAGCTTCATGAGACAATAGATAGACCTCGTCTCCGTGCCCGTAATGCTGCTTCAAGCCCCTGGCAGCAGCTTGGAGGCAGTTTGAATGAGCATTAGTTAGTCCGGTACATGCAAACTGCAAAGCCAACACCGTTTTTTCTCTTGTTTTTTCCTCCTCGGGACGCTGTGTTCCTCCGCAGGCTGTGATCGATTGGCCGGTGATCAATCCTTCCACCACAGAACACTAGAGGTGAACTATAAACTGTAACTAGAAACTAGCAATTATCCTCGAATTTCTTTTCTGTTTTTTACAATGAGAGCTGATTTTTCTCTCCATCCTCCTCTATATGTCCCCTGGCCTCCTCCTACCCACGCCTTCTTCTGAAACACTCCATCCTATAACCATCTCCCTTCTGTTTTCTACTTTCCTCTTCACTTTATTCCCCCCAGTTCTCCTTCTCTAACCCTCCCCGCCTCTAGCTCCATGCCTCTCCAGGGTGACGTTGCTGAAGGGGGTTTCTCTCGTTCTGTAATGAGGGATCTTGGAATCAATGCAGTCAACAATGCGCACCATATGCGGTGCTATTCTGCCCTTGCCTGATCTCCGGGGGTGTCAGGAGTTAGCTGGGGTATTCTTTCGTCCGGAGGGGTGTTTGGGACGCACCCCCGTCGCTCGCTCTCTCTTTCGCTCTCTCACTGGTACCCACGCAGTTCCGAGGCATCTCGCAGGAGAGACGGAGCCAAGCCATTTATTGAAATCTGTTTTTAAATGATGGAGCTATATGACCTTTTCCGATGCGCGCTCTCCGCAGCCATAAATTCTCACGGATTTCATTTTACATTTCCTCCAAGCATTCAAAACCAAATTACACCTGCACAGCCCCTTCAACCCAGTATTTTCATCTTCAATTATTTATTTTTTACTTTTAGTAGCTCCTTTAGCACTTTTTGGAGGCCGATAAGCGTTTTGGAAGTAAAATAAAGGAAAGTAATCTGGGTGGGGCTGTAATCTGTCCTGGAAAACGCACACATTTTGACAGCAGTTCCAAAGGCAGTCATTTTTTCCATCTGAAAACGGGGAAGGGAAGAACACAGAGGAGCATTGGGAAGGTATATCTATTGATTGATCACCACCAGATTCCTGATGTGCGAGCAACGTGGACCAGTTTCAAACTGTTGACAGATGAAGCAGCTGTATAACCCCCCCCCCCACACACACACACACTCTCCTTCAAGCCTTTCTCTCATAATTAGTCACATCCCCTAAAAAGGGCATGACATTAATAAACTCTACATTAAAACTCGCGTGTTTAAACTGAGCGGTGGGGATTTCAAAGAAAGCAATATATTTTTTAACCATGCGGGGCTGTGACATTCAATAGCTGGAGACGGCGCTACAGAGGGCGCGCAGCGATACAGGGGAGGACATCGCTGCGCCAAAGACAGGGCCCCTGAGCACGTGATGTAGGAATTATTGATTTATATGGCATATCTTTATCCTTACAGTATGCATGAAAGTGAAGGGAACATCAAGAGCATCGCTCGATCACCTTGAACAATGGAACCGAGTCTTTGTTCCGGGGCTTAAACAAAGCGCCAACACACTCCCTTTTGGTCCACAAACCCGGACAAAAAAAACAAAAAAAGCTTTTTACTTTGGACCCCTAAAAATCTAAGGATTGTTTCGGTACGGATCAAAGTGTGTGTGTGTGTGTGTGTGTGTGTGTGTGTGTGTGTGTGTGTGTGTGGGTGTGTTCCAGGGGCTTTTGTATTTAAGTGTGCGCAGCGCTGAGTGCTTTCCTCAGCCTGTGCAAAAAGCCCTCAGATACCGAATTGCCACCCCAAAAGCGCGCGGGCACTTCTCCTCTCCTCCTTTTATCACCGCACCCCTCCTTTGCTCCGGCTCTCTCTGCGCGCTATACCTATGACAGGAGCGCCTTTCAAACGCATGCTCATTGCATTTCAAACGCCGGTGACTCCCACTCCCTCGTTTCCAAGACTCCCACTCAGGCGTGCGCGCACGCAGCTGTCAGCTGCCCAAATATTGCATGTCCCCTGGCCTTCTCTCCCACCCCTTCCTGAACCAACTCCTCCACAGCCTCGAGTTGTTGAGAGAATGATATTTTATGCATGCCACAGCAGCCCACACACAGATACAGCTTATGAAAGACATGCCGAGCCGACTCTCCTGCCAACATTTGTGTGCGCGCGCACGTGTGTGTGTGTGTGTGCGTGTGTGCGCGCGCGCTTCTTCCCTCCGCGTTCGCCTATATTTGTGTGCAGTTCTTTTTTCTTTACAAGCTAAGATGTACTTAAACGGTGTATTCTAATGCAGGAGCACGTGCATAGGTTGCTCTGCGGATCAATATGCATTATGTAAATACTTCTCTCTGTAAAACTTAAGGGTTGCAAAAAGGCCACAAGAGTCGAGGTTTTGGCATGCGGGCCTCCCACTCCCGAGGGAATTAATCACGGCAACAGATTCGGATGGAGCCCACATACCTAAGCATTTGTCAGAGCAGGAGAGGACACAGTACAATGCATTTGCATCTGTTTGAAGTGGTATTATTAATTCATGCCAATGAGACTTTGCATAAGGGAGACTGGGTACAAATTTTGAAAGGGAGGATAAAAAAAAAAAAAAAAGTCCCAGTAAGCAAAGGGACTGTTTGATC